CCCGGGCTTCCTGGAATCAGCTGCTGATCAGTTTCAGCAGCAGCTGACTTGGGGACACCTGGGGTTCTTAAGTTGGATCTGTATGTAAGTCAGAACTGGCGTCCAGATTCAGCCGCTGTTGAAACTGATCAGTTTCAGCAGCGGCTGAATCTGGATGCCAGTTCCCACTTACATACAGATTCAACTTAAGAACAAACCTACAGTCCCTATCTTGTACATAACCCAGGGACTGCCTGTACTCTTGCTTCTGTAACTTCCACTCTAATTCATCTGGTGAGGCGGGTTTTACCCACAAAACCTTATGCCCTAATAAACCTTCTAGTCTCTAAGATGCCATAGGACTCTTTGTTGTTTTTGCAGATACAGACTAACACAGTTACTATTCTGAGACTTTTCTACAGGTATGTTATCAACAACGTGGTCAGGGAAAGCACGAGACACTCTTACTGAATGGGATAGACAACCTAGTGACACATGATGTGGAAAAACCTGATATATATATTGGACCTCCCTGATTTGCCACCTTCAGGACCTTAGCGGTCCAGAAACAGGATATTTACTGGACCATGGGAAGTCAATGCTCCCATGTTGGCAGCCAGCCCACTCCTGGGCAACTCTCCAGGCTGTGGCCCTCCCCAAACCTGGGTTCCCTGGCTAACACTAACACTGCTGAGGCTGAGGGCTTCCTGCCGCCAGCTCAGCTGGGGCTCCCCAGCCCATGCGGGACTCCCAGCCTTTGGGGCTCTTTGCTCCAGCAACATCAGTGGTTCTGCCGGAAAATGGGTATTGCCAGACCAGAGTGTCCTGGATTTGAGAGGTTCAACCGGTACTCAAATTTTTTTGCCTTGGTCTTCACAAACAAGGGCAGCTCCCAGACTGCTACACTGGGCAGCACTGTATATGAAGGTGAGCAGCCATCAGAAGTGAAAGAATAGATTAAGAACTATTTAGAAGAGCTGGGCATGTTTCCTCTGTTTTTTTCCATCCATGCATGGAATAAATTTTGTTATACACACCAAATAATGTGTGGGTGTGCACCACCTTTAGCAACACATGCTGTCAGCTGTGGATGCTCTGCTAATCAGCTGGGTGGCACCTGAATCTCTCCTGGATGGCCATCCAAGTGCTCAGCTTACAGGGAACAGTGCGCACAAATCTATGGGGTTGGAGCTAATGCATCCAAGGATTCTGTGGGAGTTGGCTGATGTGACTGCAGAGCCATTGGCCATTAACTCTGAAAATACAAGGTTATCAGGGGAAGGTCCCAGATGACTGGAAAAAGGCAAATGTAGTGCTCATCTTTAAACAAGAGAAGAAGGAAAATCCAGAGAACTAGAGACTGGCCAGCTTCACCTCCATCCATAGTAAAATCATGGAGCAGAACCTCAAGGAAATCATTTTGAAACACTTGGAGGAGAGGAATGTGATTAGGAACAGTCAACATGGATTCACCAAGGGCAAGTCATGCCTGACTAACCTGATAGCCTTCTACAATTAGGTAACTGACTATGGATACGGGGAAGGTGGTGGATGTAAGACACCTTGAATTTAGCAAAGCTTTTGATATTCACAAGAACACTGTGAGAGACTAAGTTAAAGTTAAAGAAATATAGCTTCGATCAATCAACTACAAGGTGGACAGAAAGCTAGCTAGATTGTCAGGCTCAATGGATTGTCAGGATCACCGGCTTAATGTCTAGTTGGGAGCCAGTATCAAATGGAGTGCTGCAAGGATTGGTCCTGATGTGGTTTTGTTCAACATCTTTATTAATGATCTGGATGATGGAATGGATTGTATTGTCACTAAGCTGGGGAGAGAGGTAGGGAGAGGGTAGTGACCTAGATAAATTGGAGGACTGGACCAAAAGAAATCTGAAGAGGTTCAACAAGGACAAGTGCAGAGTCCTGCGCCTAGGACAAAAGAATCCCACGCACTGCTACATGTTGGGGACCAACTGACTCAGAGGCAATTCTGCAGAAAAAAGAAGTGGAGATTATAGCGGACAAGAAGCTGGATATGAGTCAGTGTGCCTTTGTTGCCAAAAAGCTAATGGCATATTGGGCTGCATTAATAGGAGCACTGTTAGCAGATCAAGGAAAGTAATTTTCCCCCTCTGTTCAGCTTAGTGAGGTCACACCTGGAGTATCATGCCCAGTTCTCCTCCTCCCGCCCTCCGAATGAATGTGGACAAACTGGAAAGAGTCCAGCATAGGTAAACAAATATGACTGGGGACTTGGGCACATGACTTACGAGCAGAGTCTGAGGGAATTAGGTTTATTTAGTCTACAGAAGAGTGGGGAGAGAGGGATTTGATAGCAGCCTTCCAATACCTGGAGAGGAGTTCCAAAAAGAATGTTCCAGAGAATGCTCTTCATTAATGAGCACATATGATGAAATCCAGGTTCAGGTTTAGGTGAAATTAACTCCCTACTATTATATAGCTCATATTACAGTACTTGGAAAATGATCTAGTGATAGATTACAGGAGAAAACTGCATTTAAAAGTATGCATTTTAGACCTCACCATTACCTTAAAGTGAGGCTTGTACTTTGAAAGGTGATGCACACTAAGGATGTTAAAGAGCAGTTATTTGGCTAATCATGTAATTGATACAATTTTTATTGAGTACAAGATTAGTTGATAGGGGAGCTGTTTTGCAGACCTACAGTGGAGGTAGCTCTCAGAGCCAGCGACGGCTCCAAACCACTGTGGCTCTACATTTTAAATGTGCTAAGAGCCGCTGGGTTCTTACTACATTCAAAATACGGAGCCACAGCACGGGTGGTCCCAGCGTTGGCATGAGCCCGAACTGCTCAGCCCCAATTCACTCCAGATTCAGCAGCAGCCCTTTTCCAGGGATGTTAAATTTCGATTAATCAGCTGATCGAGTAGCTGATGGAATTTCCATCAAGGGGTGGGGCAGACAGCGCTCGCTATCCCATCTTTGCCTCTGCCTTTTAAATGTAATAAGAGCCGTGGGCCTGTTCCTCTTACAACATTTAAAAGGCAGAGGCACAGCAGTTGGACTGGCGTTTCCTGCTGTGCCTCTGCCTCCCCCACCGCTGCAGAGACGGTGCTGGGGGGAGCGAGCTTTTAAACTAGCTCTCCACAGCATCAGCTTCTGCTCCCCCCTCTTGCTGCCTCTGATACAGAGGCAGCAAGGGGAGGGGAGAGCAACTAGACCATTTGCCTACCTGATAAGCGTACGTTTACTGGGTAGTTGAATAGTCGCTTACATCCTAAAACTGTTTGTGAATGCTGGGGCTGGCCACAGACAGGGGCTGCTGCTGGAGCAGCCTCCCCATAACCCCTCTCCCCTGCTGCCTCTGATAGAGGCAGCGGGGGGTGGGGGGGAGGAGAAGAGAGGCAGCAGCACCATGGAGACAGTACTGGTGGGAACCAGCTTTTAAGCTGGCTCCCCCGAGCACCGGCTTGTGTCCCCCCCCCCCCTTGCTGCCTCTCATACAGAGGCAGTAGAGGAGGGAGGGAAGCGAGCAGTGGAGTATTTGATTCAACTACCTAATAAGCTTAGCCTTATTGGGAAGTCGACTATTCGCTTACATCTCTAAAGCACACTTTTTAGCTGGATAAAATGTGCTTTAGTGATTTATTATACCAAGTTTCTTATATAAAATTTACATCTGCTGGCACTTTACTGAAATCTGAAAATCTAGCTTTTTTTCTAGCTCAAGCATCAGCATTAAAGATTTCTTGATTTTAACCTAATTAAAAGATGATTTTGTGCAAGACGAAAAATAAACTAGCATACTCTCACAACATAATATTGGCTCTGCATTTCTGATGGAAGGCATTTGTTACTTAAAGCAGATACCAAATACTTGGGGAGAGGTGGTGTGTTTTTTTAAAAAAAAGGCTGCAATTTTTATATAGTCCCTTTTCTTGCCACCACACTTAGGCCATGTCTACACTACGTGGAAGATGGATGCTGCCGCAGTTGAATTTCTTGGGTTCGAGTTAGCAGGTCTAGTGAGAATCCTCTAAATCAAACTCAAAAGATCCCCCAGTCAGTGCTGGTAAGAGAGCATTGGAAGCCAATGGGAGCATTTGCTCCCATCAGCCTTCCGCTGTATGGATGGTGCGGAAACTCAATTTAAGACACGTCAGCTCCAGCTATGTGAGTAATGTAGCTAGAGTTGTGTATCTTAATTCAACACTGCAATGTAGTATAGACCACACATTAGGATCTACAACATTGGGGTAGAAGAAGCAAGTCTTCCTGTATGATAGTTGACTGGGAAGAAAAAAATCCAGAAGTGGAATTTATGGCTAGTATGCTTAGAGGGGGTTAAACTGGCAGTAAATCTCTAGTCACTGGTCATTGATAAAATAATGTAGGAATAATTATGAGTAAGCTATAGCTTCTCTCAGTGCACATTTTGACAATCTTCAAATACCTCTGTGGTGGTGGCAAACAATTGAGATGACGTAAAATCTCATGAATTATAAGTACTGGGAATGAAGAGGGATACACTTTTCTCCTCTTCATTCCTAAAATTACTTAACAGCAACATTTCAGCTGAGCTAACTGAATAAATCTGATGTAGTAAAACTACAGTCCAGTGAAATCTTTAACATGTTCCTAGAGAGGAAAGATGAAATTTATAAATGTTGCTGCCCAAAAAGAACTCCATGGGAGCCATATGGTAACCCGGTATTTTATGACTCCAATCTCACACAAAATCCTACTCACCTGCTACTCGTTCATCTGTCTCCCGGTTTCCATCATCAGAGTATCTTGCAAAGTCTAAGGAATCAAGGGTACTAATGCTTCCAGCTCGATCTACAAGAAGTGAAATAGGATTTTAACCATTTGCAAAAAGTCCAAGAAATCCACAAGTTCAATTAGAGAATAAACAAAAGTAGATTTATTTGCATTTTAGACATTCTGAAGTAGGTTACTCAGGTGTCGTGTGTGGTTAATTTTTTTTTAAAACCTTTACATTTTAAAAAAAGTACTGTAATTGAGAAAAAGGCATTTAAGAGTCCTTAAAAAAACAGCACTGTAGCAAGACTATCCAGACTACACAGAAAACATGCAACATTGAGGGGGAAAAAACCTATAACATTCTTGCGTTCATTAAAATATCAGGAGAAAACTAATTCTCTCTTGGCTACACAGCTATGCCCACCCATCCTTTTTTAAATCAGGTGCCACACAGAGTTCTCTTTTTGGTGTATGTCCTTTTGCTGCTATATACAGGCAGTCCCCGGGTTACGTACAAGATAGGGACTGTAGTTTTGTTCTTAAGTTGAATTTGTATGTAAGTCGGAACTGGTACATATTGTAGGGGAAACTCTAGCCAAACATTTCTCCAGAGCTCAGTTTTATTCTCCCACACCTCACTTCCCTCAGTCCTTTGTTCTCAAGCTGAGGTGTCTGCTGAGAAAAGCTGCTCCACGTCTCCCTAGTCTACTGGGAGGGGGGGCGCTAGCTTCGCGTCTCCCTGGTCTGCTGGGGGGAAGCAGCTAGTGTGGGGTTGCCTCACCCCGTTTGTAAGTAGGGATCTGATGTAAGTCGGATCCATGTAACCCGGGGACTGCCTGTATGGTCTAATTTCCTGGTAATGGACTTCAAGAGTACCAGTTTGATTCATATTAGAAAACTTGGTTTCTAATGAGATGCAGGTTTGGGGCTACCAGAATCCTTTATTTCCTACTGCAATGTCTTTAAGGCAGTTCAGACATACTGCAATCAGAATAAATGCTTGTCTAACAACAACTCATACCAGTCATAAACTACTAGAAGGCACAGCCCTAAGGCAGCACGTGTGTTCAATGAATGCTTGGCAAAACAAAGCCAAGTTAGTTTTGTTATGACATTCAAGTTATAAAATATTTTAGATTTGTAGCTCACAAACCGTTTGTATAACATATTAAATTAAACCCATATGCAGAGAATACTATAAAATAAGCCTTTGATTCCTTTTTTTTGCTGCTTTAAGCACACTATGTATGCCTTTAAAAAAGGATAAATATTGAAAAAGCAGAAGTGTCTGACTAAGGCACAGTACAATAGCTTGACATCTTTTTTCTTTTTTGAAATTAAGTATGTTAATAGCTAGTTCTGTGGAAAAGTTATACAAACTAGAGACAATATTCCCAGAATACAAAACAGCAGGTTCCCAATCTCTACTTGAAGAACATACTATCATGAAGAAAGCAAACAAGACCTATTGTGTACATGTAATCAAAAAGCCTTAGAACTGACTAAAGGTATGAACTGAAACTCAAGACTTGTTTATACAGTGCAGCAATGAACATGCTACAGTATGAACCTCCCAAATATGGGACTCTCTGGGCCAGCAACATCCATGGTGATGTTGCTGGACCAATGAGCCTTGGAAGCAAGCCAGCTGGGAATCCTATGGAGGCCTGGTTAGGCCAGTAGGGGTGGGTCCTGAGGTGGGTGGGGAGTCCAGCCCTGGGGAACCCCAGCCAAGAATCCTGGTAGCAGCAGTGTGGGGTGGCAGGCGGGATCCAGTGTGTGTAGGGAGCCAGTTTTTCAACTGGCTCCCCTCAGGAGATGGTCTCTGATAGAGGCAATAGCACGGAGTGGCACAGCACTCCCCAGGAGTAGGCAGAAAGCGCATTGGTTGCCAGCCCCACTACTAAGATTTGGTGTGGTTACACAATTATTATACTAAACGATATCTAATATCCCTAGAGCGTGTAAAGGAATCAGGCTGGTTTCAGGGACTACCTGAAGACCAGCTGCCAGCACCAAGTTGATGGCTGAAGAAAAATGAGAGCAAGCCCTGTGAAAGAAGCCACCTAAGAGAGAGACTGACCAAAGCCCCATCAAGAGAAGATCCAAGACCCATCTGCCGTTAATTGATGACTCATGGTCATATAGTGTCCTGGGGCCATGGGACAGGACAAGATCTATGGACTAAAACAAAAAAAAGGTGAGTGCAAAATTACAGAATTGGGGCTTTCCATTCTACAATCATTCTCCAGGAGCATGTGTGCACTGACACGACCCACCCCCCCTCCGCTTGTCTAAACCACATGGCCAGTGGAACAGCAAGAACTACCAAGGCTGGTAATTATATTCCACCTGTGCACGTAAATATGTGTGGGGGAAAATTTTAGTAGCTAGGGATAGTAATTCTACCTTCACAATAAATGTGGCATATTGCCTCAACCCTCCTAACAAGATCCTGCTAGTTCTATTTCTATAACATCAGTGCCCATGGGGAGCCTGCTTAAAAGCCAGCTCCCTGCGGACACTGGCTCTCGCATGACCCTTCCTGCGCTGCTGCCTCTGATACAGCACAGGAAGAGGGCGAGTAGATGCAGCTTTGCAGGGGCTGACTCCCTATGTCAGGGGTGTCCAAACTTTTTTCAAAGAGGGCCAGATTTGATGAAGTGAACATGCGTGAGGGCTGACCATTTTGCCTGACATTCTTTGAACCAGTAAAATTAAATGCAAATTAACTATTTTATGCAAAGTTTATTGCAAACGGCATACTTTTCATTTCATCACATGGATGACAAATCTAAACAGGTGTTAAATCACTCTGCCTTTCATATCTGAAGGCCAGATGAAAAAAAAAATCCAGGAAGCTGAAATATATGTCAGGAACATTGTAAAGTACATTACATATTATTGGTAATAAAGGTTGTCTGTCAACTTTTAAGTTCAAAAAATATGAACAGGAACATAACACCAAGTATACATGTTGTGTCCAAATATATTTATAACTGATTTAGACCAACTGACATTAACTGAGATTTTACAATGTATTCATCTCAATACATATGGATTAGTTGGGGGCCATAAAAGATAGATATTGCCAAATTACCTGGGGGGCCGTATTAAACCGGAACACGGGCCGCAATTGGCCCGTGGGCCGGACTTTGGACATGCCTGCCCTATGCGCACCAGCTGCCGCCTGCCCACCCTGCACTGCATGTAACCGTGAAGTTAAACTCATGAGCCCAGGCTCATCCATTAATTGTTTTCACTATCACTTCCCTATCTAGGGGTTTCAGATAATATGAAATAGTAGTTTAAGGACATTTTAGTTTAAATCCTGATGTATACAGGGGCAAAGAAGAGCCAAAATGCACCACAGCAATAAAGAAAAATCACTTTGTATGATTGTAGCAATTAGCTCACCCCACCATCCTGTTCTGGAGATTGCAATAGCGACAGAGACTTTGATTTACTGGTGACTACTAAGCAAACAGTCACAGTCTACTCTGAGTAGAGACAACATAAATGGAATATAGAAGAGAGACTGTACAACAGGCTTACCATTTGACCTGTGTTGGGTCTCTGAAGGTGATTACAATGCATCATCATTTTTTAAAATAATTTACTTCACTTACAAATTCACAATGATACAATAGACAAGCGACTGATATGTAAAGGAAAAGTGTAATGGTTGTACGCCAAAGTAGAAGTTGCGTTCCAAGTTCTTACATAGTCCTACAGTTGAAGCCTAGGGTAAAGACACTTCATTTCAATCAACTTCATAATGGCAATGCTTAGTCAACACTGAACTCTACTAGTACAGCACCAGATGTTTTCTAGGTGTTTCTTATAGATATATGAAAAAGTCCCTGCTCTAAACAATCTTATTAAAGAAAACTAAACCTGGTGTGTACTTAGTAACAACTTCTTCCTTTCAAGATGAAACAATACAGGGGAACTAATATCTTTTATTGATCCAACTTCTGTGGGAAAGATAAACCAGCTTCTAAACTTCAGGTAACCCGGGAAAATGCTCTGTTTAAGATCAAGAACTGGTGTCTCTCTCACCAACTGAAGTTAATTCAAAAAAGGTATTATTGCACCCAACTTGTCTTTCTACCATTCTGGGACAAACACAACTACAACACTACATCCTTCAAAGATGCAAAGTTTGTAAGTAAGTTTCTAGTATTTGTATTCTTTAGCACTGCAAAGACAAAATAGCTCAGAGTGCAAACTGAATTTATTCTTGGGATGTAAAATTTTGATTTGGCTAATCGAATAGTTGATGCAATTTGCATTGACTATTTGATTAATTGATAAGGGCACTTCTGCCTTGGGGCTGTTGCTACACTTCAAAGGCGAAAGAGCTGTGGGGAGCACGGGGCCAGCGGGGGACTCAAGCATTCTGCTGCAGTCCCCACGCTCCCTGTGGTGTTTCAAAATGGCAGAGCTGCATGGAACCCAGGGTCAGCTGCTGCTTTGAAGCACTCCTTCTTTTCTCCTTCCTTGCTGCCTCTTTCTGATAGAGGCAGCAAAGGGGGAGGAGGAGGGAAGGGACTAGTCAACTGACCTATTGACTATCTGATAGGAAATTGCTTATTGGATAGTCAACTAGTCGTTCACATCCCTCTTCTATTCTAGCACAAACAAATTTGCCATTTGAATTCCATTTGCAGAGCCAAACTTTTGAATAAAACCAATGAAACACAGGGTACAATTTTTGTAAGCGTTGATGCATATGCCAAATCACAGCTTGATACAGAATGCATTCTGAGTTTGCAGGTCTGGCAGTTAGAAAGAACATCCTTTCTTTTGTTAGCATAACAGATGTCTTAGGGTGATTAATCTCAGAACTCTCCTGCATGGGGTTGTTTGTCAGACTACAACCTGCAATATAAATGTTTTATAAAACATTTCAGTTCTTTTAACAAACATGATATCCAAAAAAGTTCATTTTAGCTACCCTTTCCTGAAATATTGGAGAATAAGTTGTCCCCCAAATAAAGTATTTGGCCAACTGATTAACAAGTTTTAACATTTAGAGATATAAAAATTAAGAATTTTTTCTTCCCTGGCTA